GTAAGATATATAACATTTCATAAACTTTATTTTTAATTATAAAAAAATACCATCTAATATATATATTATTTTATAATAGAGCATTGTGCGACTCTAAAAAAATAGAATAGTGATCGAAACAAGCGTATGTGAAAAATATTTTGTGAACTTAGTTTTTACGCAAACACGTTAGCGACTGTTCTCGACCGGCGCGGCAGCAAGTTCATCGACAAGATTTATTAAAATTTATCGGAATATTCCCGTTACGTTACGCAATCGGCGCGACAGGAATTCGATTCGCTGCATTTTAATGAACCATTTGTCGGCAATAGAGTGATTTAAATGGATTGACTGTCTGTAACGCAATTATTCAAGCGATCGCCCGAAGAGAGAACCTCCCCCTCGTAATTTGACGTTCAAAGCGATTCCCAGACATGTGAATCCCGATAGTCGTGCGATCCGACATCTTTAAATTATTCATTCCTTCTGATAGCTACGACGCTCGCTAGTGTGCAACTTTCTGGTGTGATGGAATAAGTGGAAACGGTAGACCGTTAGCTTTCTTTTTCGACGAAACTTTCGCATTACCTTCTAATGACTGTTGCTTTAACCCATTTTCCAGGCCCGTTGCGAGAACTCCAGATATCTAATCCCGTACGTTAGCGTCTTAGAGTTTCCAACTCCCACATATATGCCGTTACACTCGAGTAAGGATTCCATTATATAATCTTTGTTCGTACCTAAAACTCTTAATAACGTTTGCGTGCAGATAGTAACTTGGAGAATATTAGCAACATCGAATCAATTCCGTTTCAATTTGTTTCTCATTTGAAATAATAAGAGAAATGCTACGAGAATTTCAATGTTACACATTTGTTATATCGCTATAATATGCAAACCTCGAGAGGCGTGAACATGGAAGAAATTTATAAGTTTACCGAGACTTGGTTATACTCGAACTGTAGCGATTTGGTTATATCTTCGTGAATTCTAAACTCGCTAATCTCTCTATCCGATATCTCGCGTATACCATACGATTACTTCGCGAAGCTGGAACTTCCATCTGACCATTAAAAATTTATCCATGGCTTAACCTCGGTCTTCTGAAATCCTTGAGAATACATCGGGGCCAAGAGTCCGTGGTATATAGTAACTTGAAAATGCGCGGAGGCCAGATGGAGAGCTTAAGCGTGGTTAGAAGATCTCGAATTTTAGCTGGGGAAAGCAGTCGGCTTTTAGTTTTCGCTGCCGCACCCATTAATAAGAACAAGCATCGCTGCGATATCTTTGAGTTTGTTTTATTCATTTCGCCCATAACACGTTCCCAATCAACCGCGGGAACGTAACGATGCGTTACGGTGATTTTCGTAAATATTTGACACAAATATATATCGATGATACGTTCCGCGCGATTGCAACCTCAAGATTTGCATTGCGCCAGTTCATAAACGACAGCGGCGCACGCGTTGCTTTTGATCGATTACGCGATTTGTATCGATTTTGGAATTTATCACGGCAAAAGCTGGCCCGAAATATGAAACAATAGACATATATGAATCAATGTATCAATATCCACGTACTGAATAACGTATAAACAATATTTGATCAGCGCGAATGGAACGGCTCGATAAACAGATAGGCGTGCACTCGCGTAATAATCCCAGAAACTGCTATCGTATTTATTTCGCCGTACGTAAATTACCAATTTATATAATCTCTTGGGAGTAACGCGTGTAGCGTGCCACAGCGTCATCGTATACGTGAGATTACCGCGCGCATTGTCATTTCGATGGACAACAACATTTTCCGGAAGGTAGTAAAGCGTGATATGAACCGTTGCCGGTGTAATGAGCTGACAATATAACGTCTAGGCCACCTTGGTTCAGGCTGGACAAGGAAGACCCCCACGGTCCGGACATCAATATATTGATGACTGTGCGGACGGAGATTAAGAGCTGCCATCTATATCGACGCTTTGGCCCTCTTGTAACGTGACACATCGGATACCATTAATAAAGAGGCGATACTTTCCTTTCGTGTCTGGCGGAAAGCTATAATAGGTATTTTGATCCGCGCTAAGAAGGCAGGGAAGGAGATCTCTTTCCATTGTATCATAGAGATGATAATGACGCGGCATCTATATGCCTGTTGAGAAGCATTCGTAACTACGGCGAAATACGTGAATAACATGGAAAATATGACTGAACTGTCGACGACTCACGACGCTTCGCATTGCCAATTACATTTTCGCGCGTTTTTAATTGCAATTATCGGATTATTTCCGCGGCAGTTTATCATCGATATCGGTGATTATCTCAGAAACGATTAAAATCTTAATATTTATCGCGCACCGTGCTGTGTAAACGACGTGTCGTGAATAAAATTCTCGATCGCCTTTCCGTCATTAATTATGACGGAAGCATTGCCAGCAAACGAGAGATAAATTAACGAATGACGAGATTGCGCGATAGCGCCGGCGCGGTCATCTCTCCGCTCGTAACGAAATCCAAACGCGGAAAACGTGGATTGCACCGTCGCGGAAACTTGCATAATATCGATTTGCAGTAAAGTGCGTATCAAATAGGCGGGCGGGGAGGCCGGCGCGCGGAAAACAGAATGGGGAAGCTGCGGGCGAGTAAAGGCGAGTCGTTACGTTGTCGGTACATCGCCTCTTTCGATACATTTCGAGTGCGGTTACGTGACACTGCGCCGTGCCCACCGAGTCGAGTGGTAGATGGGCTCGAGGAAGGGGGATCGGGTGCAGATACGGGGTAGAGGAAATGGGAGAATAGGGATGAAAATGGGGTAGAACGACGACGTGAGATCGGGGTGGACTCGGCGCGGAGCGGCAGCGCGGTAATCGGCAGCAAGTGAATTGGAACAAATGCAGACAGACGTGAGGTGGGCTGCCGGGCTCTCTCTCTCTCTCT